TTGGTTGTGCCTTAGAAAACTACGGAGTGCAGGTGGAATCTATGTGTGTGTTAGGTTAGGAAGCATGGTTCACGGGTATTGGTGGACTCAGTAACTTCTTAATAATAGTGATAATATTTTGTGTGTAGTTAATACTATTTTTTCAGTTACTGATGTAAGCTGTGTGTAATTAATATTTCTTAAATAATTGTGATACCATTGTTTTTAATGTTTGTGTCACTAATTGAAACCAGAGAATGAGGGAACTGTTTTTCAGATGAGTTTCTCCCTTATGTTGTAAGTGATACTGTGATTTAGTTCCTTTAATGCATTAAATTTTTCTTTATAATTCCGATCTCAGGTATAACCTTTGTTCCCCAGAGTAGAGTTTAAGTTAGGTTAGGAAGTGTGCATCTGTTGGGGTAATATAATTTTGTTGAGTGCCCTGAAGGCCTATTCAGGGTGGAGTTATTGATTTCTTATTTTGTTTTAATAAAATTTTCTCAGTGATTGATATTATTTTGTTGAAAGCCCTTAAGGCCTGTTTCATGTGTGCAAGCAACAATTCTTAATAAAATGAATTTATTGTTGTCTAATGAGGCATTGTCTGAGTTTCTAATAATTTCAATATCATGAATAACTCATATTCCCCAGAGTAGTGTTTAAAGTTCAGGTTAAGAGATGCGCAGATGTTGGTGTACCATTATTTGATTGTGTCTGTAGTGTTGGAGGGAATATAAGTGTCTAATTTTTACAGTGTGTCTCATTCATCCCAGTCACAGACGCTATCCTTCCACGGGTCACGGACAATTCATTTTGTTAGTAAATTTAGCTGTTCTTGTGCTGGTTCAGGATTTTTCTCCAAGGGGCGCTTCCACTGCAATTTCCATCTAATAATTAATAAACCCCAAGTCAAGTGAGAAATTAAAGTCCATCAATTTCCGACCGGATATACATACAGTCATGCGCCGGTCCGATCGCATATACGTCCGTGCCCCCCCCCCTTCTGCGATAGCCAAGGGATGACTGTACTGTACTGTATATACTTGTGACACTGGTCAGTTGCTTCTGGTGTTATGGTACAGGGGTACCAAGTGACAGCACTAGGATCCCGCTTCCTCTATCAAGGAATAAACAATTAAAATTTAAATTGCCAAAAAAAAAAAAAACATTCAAATAAATTACTATCTTACAAGAATCCCTCCAATGTAAGTTATATTCACCCAGGTCGTTTGGGTGGAAAATTATGAGAAGAGCTTAGTCACTCTTAAGTAATGATAAATAAACACACAGGCAGGCCTTCAGCACCAACTGTCAAATCTTATCTCAAATAAATAAACAAACGCCAGACATTGTCACCCCCACCACCCTCGTGTTCAAGATAAAAGATTGGTAATTTCTTTGTTATTTTATATAATATCTCAGACTGAAATCCTTGCAAGACAGAGATTAATTTGAATATAAGCATGATATATTTTGCTCAAGATATAAAAAATGTAGTACATTAGTGTACAATACTGTAGTACATTTTTATAAAAAAATTCTACTGTATTTATGTCCTTTAGATTGAGTTTTTGTTTTTGCTTATAAAATGTCATAGAAGTAACCGGGGAGAATATAATTTACATTGCTGGAATTCTTATAAGATAGTGATTAATTTGAATGTAAACATGCTATAGTTTGCTCTAGGCAAAAATTTTAGTAATCATTTTGTACAGTCAGCCCTTAACATACGCGGGTTTAGCATACACGGATTTGCAAATACGCGGATTGCCCCACTGGAGGAATATTCTGTACATTGAAGTAATTGAAGTACATTCAAATCGCACGCCATTCAACTCGCGCGCGGCACCGAACACGGGACACCGCCCGCTCCCTCAACCTCACACACACACGCATAGCTCTCCCTCACTCAGTCAGTCTCGCTGTAACCACGCTTGTGTTGACATCAGCATTGTAGTTGCAAAAATATTACATTTCCGTGAATGTATTATATCAAGCACAGTATGAATAGAATATCACTAATATAAGAGTATTTTAACCGAAAACTACTAAAAAAACGAGTAACATATCTTGAACATTGGAAGGTTAGGTAAAGTCTTTTGTTTTCATGTAGTTTATCCTAATTTACATTGAAATGCATTACGTTTCAGCAAAACTACTATTTATTTCTGAGAATATGGAAATGTAATATTTTGCTGAAATGACGTACGTATTACAGTGGAAAGTGACGAAAGCAATGACTCGCTTTCTTTCGCTCAAAAGATGTTACCATAATCGCTTTTCGAATGGTTTTCAGTTAAAAACTGTTGTATTACAATAATATTCTATCCTAATTCACTTGTGATGCAACAGTTTTTTTAACTGAAAACCATTCGAAAAGCGATTACGGTAACATCTTTTGAACGAAAGAAAGCGAAAGTTATTGTTTTGTCAGGATTTTATCCCACTTTCCACTGTAATACGTACGTCATTTCAGCAAAAATATTACATTTCCGTGAATGTAGTATATCAAGCACAGTATGAATATAACATCATTGTAATATAACAGAATTTAAACGAAAACTATTAAAAAACCAGTAACATCTCTTGAACATTGGAAGGTTAGGTAAAGTCTTTTGTTTTCATCATGTATTTTATCCTATTTTACATTGAAATACATCACGTTTCAGCAAAACTACTATTTACTTCTGAGAATATATTCATTCAGGCACAGTTTAGGTAAAATATACATGTGCTGTAACATTTTTTTAATTGAAAACGATTCGAAAAACACGTACCCTCTAGCCCTGTTCAAGGAGAAGACTGGGAGGAGCTGTTTGGTGCTTAAGACGATGACAAGGAAAATGATTTTGATGGATTTTAATGAAAATATTCAGAAAGACCCTGGCACTGTCAAGGAAAGTGGCTGCTGAATGCTTCCAGGACATGGCAGAGGACCAGATTAGGGAGCTAATTGAAGAGCACGACACTGAGCTGACCGAGGAGGATCTACAGGAGTTAGTAGACTCAGGCAAGGAAGAGGAAGCAAAAGGGAAAGAAGATGAGGAAGAGGAAGAGCACCAAGAAATAACGTTTGAGAAGTTGGGGGAGATGACCAGGAATATTGAGGCACTAAAAAACCTGGCCTATAGTATGGACCCCTCCATGGTGCGTGCCCTGAAATTTATGCGAGGGATGGATGACGTTTTTGCTCCATACAAAACCATCATGGAAGAAATGAAAAGAAAGAGACGACAACTCCCCATCATCATGTTCTTTGATCACCAAAGGAGAGATTTAACACCATCAATCACTGGCGGCAGTGAGGAAGCAGCTGAATCCACCGTCGCCCCCACTTCACCACCCGTTATGGAATTGAGTGACGAGCCCGATGACCCCCGTCCTGTCGCCGAGGATAGGTACTGTACAGTAAAGTGAAATTCTTATCTCTTTTTTTTAATAGCTTTTCTTGCCATGTTTATTGTTTGTAAAAATGCACAGCACAGAACAGTTCAGTACTGTACATAGGAATTGGAGGTGCAGTTATTCACAAAACATTTGTGTTTGTTGTCGGCAGTAGTGACGGTGAGGAGGTGGAGGAGGCAGAGGAGGGAGCGGAGGGAGGGAGTGGGGAGGAGTGGTGACCTTGGACGCGGGAGCAGGGACGAGTGGAGATGCCAGCCAGTACATTACGGGTGTATTAATTGTTTTTATAGCTATTTTTGCATTTTAATATTAAATACTGTACATTACGTTTCAACAAAACTACCATTTATTTCTGAGAACATGGAAATGTAATATTTTTGCTGAAATGATGTACGTATTACAGTGGAAAGTGGGATAAAATTGTGACGAAAGCAATGACTTTCTCTTTCTTTCGTTCAAAAGATACCGTAATCGCTTTTCGAATGGTTTTCAGTTGTGGGATTATAAGACTAATGATAGGATAGAATATTATTGTAATACAGTACGAGTACAACAGTTTTTTAACTGAAAACCATTCGAAAAGCGATTACGGTAAAATCTTTTGAATAACGAAAGAAAGCGAAAGTCATTGTTTTCGTCATGATTTTATCCCACTTTCCACTGTAATATGTACGTCATTCCAGCAAAAATATTATATTTCCATATTTATTTCTGAGAATACGTATATTCATTCAGTCACAGTTAAGGTAAAATATACTTGTGATGTAATATTTTAATGAAAATACGGTATCGTAGTTTTCTTTTGTTTCAAATTTAATTAACAAAGATTGATGTTTCAAATGTAATGAACAAAAATTTATGTCCAGTATCTATAAATAAACTTTAATAAATGAATACTTTATGTTTTACATCATCCTGTGCTACCATACCATGGATTTGGCTACTTTGGGCTTGCTATGATGACGCAAGAGATCTGCCCTGGCAACTGTACCGACACTCACAGCTGGTGGTGCGTTGGTGCATCATTTCCATTGTTTACTGGTAAATATTTTTCAACCTAATGAAACTATTACCCGTTTAGAGGTCAACCCCCAATTTTTTGCCAAATAATTTGGTCTTAAAAACTCGAACTACACACAGGTATATACGGTAAATAAGGACATTGGGGGCCAGGGTTTTTTTTTGGGGGGGGGTGGGGGGGGGCAGCACATACACGCGGATTTTTAACATCCACGGGTATCTCTGTTACGTAAGCCCCGCGTATGTTAAGGGCTGACTGCACATCATTTTGATTACATGTACAGTACAGCTTTGCCCTTAGGACAGTGTGTGCATGTAAATGAGTTTCAATAAATGAATAAAGTTACATTTTACTGTATTGGCAGACTAGGAGATCAGTTGATCAGGATTTCGTTAATCAAAGTTTTGTTCGTTAACCGAAATGAAGATCCTTATGAGAGCTAATTCGTTCACCGAAATTTCGTTAATCGGACCATTCGTTAATCGAGGGACCACTGTATTTGTTAACAACGTACAGGTATATGTCAAAAGAGGCATACCAGTACAACATGTAGCGAGGAACCCCTGTATGGGATAAAGAAACATCCTCTTACCTAATGGACTAAGTGGATCTTCCTCCCGATCTAAAGAAGCAGACGAGGTAACGGATGAGGTGCTGGAAGTGGGTGATGATACGTTGAGAAAGCCGCGCAGACGTCGCTCCTGCTGCTCCAGCGCTTCCTGTCTCTCCCGTAAACGCTCCTGAAGTCGTTCAAAGGAGTGACGTAACATCTGAGGACGCTATAATGAATTACTATCTGACACAAGTTGGTTAATATTAATCTACCTTTTTGTGAAGAAATGAATAGGTCAATACATATGTTGTCAAACCTAAGAGAGGAGTGAGTGTTATACTGTATACAAAAATTAAACAAAACACACACACACACACACTATCTTGAGGTCAAAATCCATTAAGATCTTGATCGTGTCTACTAAGCTGCCAGAAACTGGTATCTCGAACAGGATACTTTACAGTACACGGTGTTGATAATTATTTAATTTTTTTCATATTTCAGTCTAATATCGTTATACAGAAAAACCTCGATTAACCGACCACATATGGGGGGAAGGGGCCGACGGATAATCGAAAAGGTCGGTTAATGGTACATAAAGTCTACGGAAATAAAACATACATTTTCAAAGTACCTTTCCCTAGCCTACCTTATTTAAGTCCCTCTATTCATTTTTGTTAATTTACCATTCATATTTCAATAGAATTTGCTATAAAACATTAACCATTTAAGTAAATAAATATGAACCAGCACAGAAACCGTGAATCAAAGAACATATGTCATCACAAAAATTGTGACCAAGTTCCAGGTTGCTGATCTGACTTTCTGCCTCATTTACACACAATTGCAGGGTCTCAATTGTTTCTCTTACTATTGACAACACAACATACATACAGGTACATTGTTTCTCACTCTTGATTTTTTTTTCATTTTTGCATTTCTCTATGGTTCTTTATTACTATTATTATTATTATTAGCATTATCATAATTAATATTATTACATTATCGCCCCCCCCAGGCCCCGATGTGGGTCAGTGACCTGTGCCCGGGTATATATATATATATATATATATATATATATATATATATATATATATATATATATATATATATATATATATATATATATATATATATATATATATATATATATATATATATATATATATATATATATATATATATATATATATATATATATATATTTTTTTTTTTAGGGTTCGGGATTGACGGTTAATCCTTAAGTCAGTTAATCGAGGGTCGGTTAATCGAGGTTTAACTGTATTTTCATTTGCCTATTACCGTATTCGCCGCCATGAAAGATGCACGGCCACATAAGATGCATCCCAATTTTACAAGGATAAAAAAATCAGTACACTTCATTATACTGTACTGTACATTTATTTAAACATAAATTTTAGTGTTTTTTAGGGGAAAACATATTTCATGCATGTAAATACTGTACAGTTTACTGTATACAGTACTACCGATACTACTATTTTACTGCATCAAAAAGTTTGGTAGATAATTCATTTTCAAATTTCCCACCGCCATGCGTGCGGGAATTGGCAGGAGAGGGATAGAAGTCATGATAGCGACCACACTCAAGTGTCTCACTGTCCACTGTCGCATGCAGATCTACGTTACTCACTTCCATCTTGCTGTGTACTATCTAGTAGTGTATGGAGATTTTATAGGTTACAAGATATGTAAGATTATTGCATATCTGCTACAACACCCTCCCTTCCCACGTCTATGACTGGGTGGAGTGAGTAAAGCTACAGTACAGTATCTTCCTTCTTCAAGTGAAGCTTCTACAGTACAGTCAACAGGCAACACCTCATCAATTTAACTCTGTAATACAGTATCATAAATATGATCATCATACTACACTACACTAATAATAATAATGGTTGCCCCTCGTGTAACAAGGATGGCTGGCCCAAGGACCACCTAGGCGTGAATTTGTTTAAGGTGCAGAAGCTGTCGCCAACACAACAACAACCAGTGTCAAGGGATAGTCTGAAAAGACCTGACAACTCGCCAACTGCACTGGCTAACCATTACCCTGGAATACTATTTGCAAATCGATTAACATCCAGGTCCCTAATTACTGTCACCAATAAATACCAACTTTTTCAACAAACAATACCTTATACCACCTGGATGACCGCCTTACCGTTCGATGTTGTGTGCCATACTGATTCCCCGACACAATTCGTATTATATCTCGTGGTTGTTCCTCTGAGTGTCCCTGATCAGGTGGAGGTGTTGGGAGAGGACCAATCACAGCTCCAGTCCCAGTAGTAGAGGCAGGAGTGGCTGGTTCTGCTAAACTTCTTGTAGGAGATAATCTCCCCCCTTCTGCTCCTCCCGAAGAACTGTTTGTCCCATGCAAGGGCGTAGGTAGAACTGGAAGGTGGAGACGCGTGTGTATAGAGCGACGCCGAGGAATTCGACGAAAGACACTGGGCGACATCATCCATGACCTATTGAGAGGAAAAAATTTTTCACTGACAGTCATGGTACAGGGGAATCTCATTATACGAGCATTATGTATACGAGAATTCGATGATATGAGGTTAAGGAATTTGCACCTTATATTCACTATACGAGCGATATTGTTCGACGATACGAGAAGCGAGTACAGTGACCACTGGGGTTAGTTATACAGATTTTTTCTCGTGAAAATGCCATAATTTTGAGCAACATATTACTGTACAGTGTACTCACTTTGTACTCAGATGTACTACACTAAAGGACTAAAAATTTTATCTCTTGTGCAAACTATGTGATGTTTATACTGTGACATTTTATAAGATAAACACTTTAAGCTTAAGACTACCTTCACCCTGGCTGGGAGTGGGGGGAGGAGGAGGAGGAAGGGAGGTGTTGACAGCCGGCGGTGAGAGTACCAAGTGCGTTGTTACCAGTTAAATAGACTTGGCAAAATATAACTTACATTGCTGTAATTCTTGTAAGATGGTGATTAATTTGAGTACAACTATCCCATAGTTTGAACTAGACAAAAATTTTAGCAATTAACTTAGTACATTGAGAACAAAATTGCCCTAAGGACAATTATTTCTTTTACTTTTCACAATATGTATTTAGGATGGTATAAGCATGTAAATGAGTAAAAATAAATGAAAAAAGTTACGTATATCTACCCAAAAATACGAGTTGAAAACAACCATAACACCTCACAGCTTGGCCCAGTAGCCTGGTGGTTGCTGTGATGACTCTAACTTGGCTACAGTGCCATGATAAATCACTATTAAGCATTGTTATATCAGTAAAGACTAATAATAACAGTAAATCCAGTGAAATATGGCAGGGAGGGAGGAGAGTTAAGTGTAGAAGACGCGTTAACTAGCAGTCACACGAGTCACTCCTCTCACCCGTTGCCAGGCGTACGATCCAAATACATAACTTGTAGTCTAATTTGAAGACGGTGATGGGCCCAGTGACAAACAAATTATACAAACCAGGCATTTACCTATGATAACATAAGCAACATTGTACTGCAGCATTACTAGAGTGACTTAAATATTCTCATAAGCAACAATCGACAACTGTTTATTTCCCAACTCCCGGTCAACCTGCGCCCACAGGCCTAAAATGTTCTTTGCTCAGTTTACCCAGCCGAGTAAGTGGAACAAGCAGTGGCGTGGTCTGTGACGTCTCTCATGATGTAGATGCACAGATGCACAGAGACGTGTTTGTGAGCCACTCCAGCCAGGCCACGCACCCCCTACATCCCTACTGCCCCCCATCCAGATGCACAGAGACGTGTTTGTGAGCCACTCAGCCAGGCCACGCACCCTCCCCTACATCCCCCCCCCCCCCCCATCCAGATGCACAGAGACGTGTTTGTGAGCCACTCAGCCAGGCCACGCCCTCCCCACATCCCTGCCCCCCCATCCAGATGCACAGAGAGCGTGTTTGTGAGCCACTCAGCCAGGCCACGCACCTCCCTACATCCCTACTGCCCCCCCATCCAGATGCACAGAGACGTGTTTGTGAGCCACTCAGCCAGGCCACGCACCCTCCCACATCCCTACTGCCCCCCCCCCATCCAGATGCACAGAGCGTGTTTGTGAGCCCACTCAGCCAGACCACCCCTCCCCTACATCCCTACTGCCCCCATCCAGATGCACAGAGCGTGTTTGAGCCACTCAGCCAGGCCACGCACCCTCCCTACATCCTCTGCCCCCCATCCAGATGCACAGGCGTGTTTGAGCCACCAGCTTACATCCCTACCCCCCCCCCCCATCCAGATGCACAGAGACGTGTTTGTGAGCCACTCAGCCAGGCCACCCCTCCCCTACATCCCTGCCCCCCCCCCCATCCAGATGCACAGGCGTGTTTGAGCCACTCAGCCAGGCCACGCCCTCCCCTACATCCCTACTGCCCCCCCCATCCAGATGCACAGAGACGTGTTTAGAGCAGCGTGTTTGTGAGCCACGACCCTCCCTACATCCCTACTGCCCCCCCCATCCAGATGCACAGAGGCGTGTTTGTGAGCCACTCAGCCAGGCCACGCACCCTCCCCTACATCCCTACTGCCCCCCATCCAGATGCACAGAGAGCGTGTTTGTGAGCCACTCAGCCAGGCCACCACCCCTCTCCCTGCCCCCCCATCCAGATGCCCCATCATCCTACCACCCCCATCCAGATGCACAGAGACGTGTTTGTGAGCCACTCAGCCAGGCCACCCCTACATCCCTACCCCCCCATCCAGATGCACAGAGACGTGTTTGTGAGCCACTCAGCCAGGCCACCCCTCCCTACATCCCTGCACCCCTCCCACATCCCTAGATCCAGATGCACAGGCGTGTTTGTGAGCCACTCAGCCAGGCCACGCACCCCTGCCCCCCCCATCCAGATGCACAGACGTTTGTGAGCCACTCAGCCAGGCCACCTCCTCCACCCCCCCACCCAGATGCACAGAGACGTGTTTGGAGCCACTAGCCATCCCTCCCTACTGCCCCCCCCATCCAGATGCACAGAGGCGTGTTTGTGAGCCCAGTCCCTACATCCCTGCCCCCCCATCCAGATGCACAGAGACGTGTTTGTGAGCCACTCAGCCAGGCCACGAACCCCCAGATGCACAGAGACGTGTTTGTGAGCCACTCAGCCAGGCCACGCACCCCTCCCCTACATCCCTACTGTCCTCCACCCTCTCCCTTCTTGCAATGTTTGAATCTGCTCTCTAAGTTTGTCTGCTCATACTGAATTGTCATCGCAATACTGTGTACTCTGCTGCCTAAGCATTATGGTGCCATACTTTGGAACTTCCTTATTGTTTTAAAGGCATCCCAAGCTTATTGTAGTGCTATAGTCGTGCTTCCTAAGCATTCAACATATTCAACCACCACTCCAGCTTCTAAGCGTGCATGTGTACCTATTCCTTTCTTGAAAAAGAAAGAGATAATTGATATGCATTAACGAGGTGAACGGGTAACCAATATTTGCCGTGTCAGTTTTGTCGGTGCTAGGGAATGCATCCCTATTTCACCCATGTATTATTCCCTCCGTTATACTAAGTTTTTGCTATATGAGGAGACTCCAAGGAACGCATCTACTCGTATCATCGAGATTTTACTGGACCGTATAACAAAATCTGAATAAGTTTAGTTTAGTTAATGATCATATTACATAGATTTGGTGGGTTACAACAGCCAATCACAGTGAGTCAGTGAGTGTACACTGCTTCCTTGCTTACGCAAATTCACTTAACACACGGCTAAATTTGCTCGAATGTGCTAACATGGAAAAATTCAGCCGAACGCAGTCAGGTAGAAAATATTTTGTGCTAGCCAGTGGTCAAGTCCATTACAGTCTAGGGGTAGCGTCCCCACATCACGTGGGCTTAGAGTTTAGCTAGTGTTCAGTCCGGCTACAAACAAAAATGTCGCTTAGATTAACTTCACCATTTTGCATACTTTCCTCACACATGCATGCACACACACTCACACAATAATTATCATTGGGTCAAAAACATAAAATGAATAAAAATTTCTTCGTGCACCAGCGAGATTTAGCAGGATTTATGTTAGATTATATTTCAACTCATAAATTCTGGTAGATAAACTTAACTATTTTCATAATTTTATTTTACTCAGTTACATGTACAATAAAAGACAAAAGTCGTGTCGTGGTTTTGTCCGAAGATTAAATATAACTCGTGAAACATTATGAGAGCCCCCTACCACAAGGCAGAGCGCACCAAAAGTTTAGCCCTTCAGCATATGTTTCGACCAAATTTCACGACACGACTTTTGTCTTTCATTGTACACACAATTCAACATAGAGATTGTATCCCCCCCACCCACCCCAAAATCATAATAATTATCATTACGTCAAAAACATGAAATGAATAAACATTTCTTTGTGTGCCAGTGGGGGGCTTTGCTAGGGGTTGGGAATAGGACTGGTTGTTTTGGTGAGGCTTGAGGGAGGCCAAGTGTGACTCAGCCAGCCTCTGTGCAAATGATGTCTGAGTTAAACTTTTGAGAACTGATTTCATGGACAAGCCAGTGCCTCCACAACACCAAGTTAAGTGAATGTGGTAGATGTACGTACAGTAAAATCTTCTAAGTCGGAATTTTGTAAGTTGGAAACCCCCATACATCGGACTAGGCTCTGTGGGTCTGACGTCGATGGGCCACATGGGAGTCATGGGTCGGGCACAGTGTGGGAGGCATCAGTTGGGCAAGGGGTGATGTCACAACAGTTACTGCAAGTCTGTTGATGTGAGCGCTGCTCCGTAATGCTCTGTGTTTTTCCGTATTCAGTGTTTCCCCAGTGAAATATTATGGCGACTAAACCAAGCAAAGGCAAAACAACAACACTGAGAGAAAAGGAATAGCACTTAAAACTCTATAAATTGAAGAAAAACTTAAGGATTGATGCTGGTGTCTCCATGAACATGATCTGTGAGGAGTTTGGGCTAAAGAAGAGTACTTTTTACAACATCAAGAAGGCTAAGATGAGGGACTATGCCTTGACATAGAGAAGATGTTGGTTCAGCTAAGAAGAGTAGAAAGAGGATTAAGACCCTGAAATATGAACAGCTTGAGTATGCAGTGTTCAATTGATGTAAACAAGAGCACTCTGCTGGACATCCCGTGAGTGGCATCATGATTTAGTCAGCTGCTGAGTGCCTATCAGTTAACCTTAATATCCAAGATTTCAAGGCAAGTAAAGGTTGGTTATTCAAGTTTTGGCATCGTCACTGCCTAGTTAATTGCAAGATTATTGGGGACAGTCTGAGTGCTGACATGACGAGTGTACAGCCCTTCAGGGAAAACTCACAGCATTAATAGACAGTGGATTGCTCCTGAGTCAGCTGCACAATAGAGGTAAGACTGGCCATTCTTGGAAGACTATGCCAAGTAATACTTAGCTGGAAAATCCACACACAAGCTATTCACAGCAAAGTCAATAAACAGTGCGGTACAGTAGGGTCGGGATATATAGCAAC